AGATACATCTAATTTGCATGAAATCCCATTGCTTACACCTCTATTGCAACCTGAAAAATAAACCAACTCACTTATCAAGAGATGCATTTAATTCATCAGAGGAAAATTATAGCATGCCCAAGTCACTGCGAACACTAAATCATATATCATGAACATGCAACTAACATTCCCTCAAAAACAAAAAAAAAAAAGAAAAAGAAAAAGAAAAAAGCAAACAAGCAAATAACATAAGATACATACACAGAAGTTAAAGCCAAAGATATCTTTGAAAGACAATCCATATTGCAGTTTCAAAAGAAAATGAAAATATATACATATATATTAGCAAGGAATTCATAATGTTTTGCACCGCATGTTGAATGTATTTGGCTCAACATAATGCAAGCAACTTATTCTTTAACTCCTAGCTTATGATATGTTTGTGAGATTTTTCCCAAATAGCGATAAAAAGCAAGACTGATATCAACAATACATAACATTAGAAACACAAACAGCATCAAAAGCATCAAGTTAACTAGCTTTGAAGTAAAGGAATATCAAGGTAGTTACATAATTCAGTTCCATACGTTTCAGCTTCCATACCTAAAGCAAGCTAGATAGGAGCCTAATAAATAAAGATCAGAATAGAATTTTGAAACTTAACCATTTCACTAAGAACAGGATCTTTTCTGAATGTAGAATTTACAGCCCTGCTATAAAACCACAAACGACTACGCACTTCAGTTTACATCAATCGATCAACGGCTGCCGAGAAGTTTCAAAAAGCGACGCAAACCTGGATCAATAACTAGTGAGAAACCTCATAACCAGAGACAAGTTCGACACATCTTCCATTAAGTGAAATTTGAAAGCCCCAAGTATCAGATAATGCATGCTAGAGCACAAGACAACCTTCTATACTATGTCAGTTAGCACTACAACAACAAAGCAAGTGTTTTTATCAGCTTTTTTGGACCAATTAAATCAACTAATTTCTGGTTCAGTTCACTTCATAAAACCACAAACCTCACATTTCAAACTTAAGAATTTGACAAGAGGAATTCAAGAAGAATTCACAAGTACTAAGAATTTAACAAAACCTAATTACCTCCATCAGCTGCTTGGCAAGAGAAGTGGCCTCCATTTTTGCTTTCATTAATTCTTCCAACAAAAGCCAATAGTTTGCACCCTGATTATACATCTGAAGCCAAATTAAACATCATTGAAAATCCAGCAAAGGCTCACAAAAGAATCAAATTTGGAATGTCAAATAGTGAAAGAGAAACCTGTTCTTGAATTTCTGTTGCAGGTCCACAAGCCTAATCCCCGTGTTTCTTATAATTTGGAATACAAAAAAAATTGAAAGATTAAAAAGGATAAAAGGAGAACAACAAAAGGAAATAAGAAAAGCATGATACAGCAAAACTACCAAGCCATGGCTTTTGTGTGACTACAAAATGAGCGCTCCTCAATCTTGAAGCTGTTTCCAGCTCTGCTACAAGATTCCCATAGTCTGAAAGACATAAGACATTTAGAAATCTCCTAGCAGCTAAAGACCAAATATGTGCAAAGAAATGGTACGTGACTTCCCCTGAAAATTCAGTTTAACTTCATAAACATTATAAACATAAATTTTAAGTCGGTAAAATCAGCTGCAGCAAATTCCGAAGACAAAACTGGAGCACAAAATTAAATTTTTTTTTTTTTATAGAAAAAGGCTCTGCAAAATTCAAAAGTATAAAAATCAAGTCTTCTAGCAGCTCCCATCACAAAAAAAATGAAATCAAAGCGTAATAGTCATAAGAACTAACTCAGACAAAAGGAAACCCATCTGAGAGCTTCGAAACATGAAAAGAAAAAAAATTAGGATACCCCCGATGGGAAAAACAAATTTAACGTACAATAGCGAAGCTACAAAAATTGACCTACACCTTCAATAAAATTTTGGAGGTTTATTCTGATTGAAACATAAAGAAATTTTTCACGCACGGAATGATAATTTTACCTGTATCACTCGTTAAAATTATTTTCTTGATTGACTGAAAGAGAGGGAGAAACAAAGGAGAAATAGAGGGAATTTCTGTTTGCAGGTCCACAAGCCGCCGTCTGAAAAACCATCCACTCTTAATCCATCCACTCTTAAGGGATCTGTTTGTTTTTTTCTACATAAAGTAAAATCGGTGTCGTTCCCAGTCAAAAACAAAACAAGAAAAATGAAAAAACAAAGAAAGGAAGAAAAATCACTAAGGCGGGATTCTTCCCCCTATGTGTTTTGCCCAAAAATATTTCCCTCCATCGAAATAAAATTCATCGTCATTACAATCAAGAGAAGAAAAAAAAAGGTAGGAGTACTAGTTTGTCTTTTTTCTTATCTCTTCGTTTACGTAATCTATAAAAAGTTCAAATTTGCTGGTAATTTTTTATTATCCTTAATTGTAATTATAGTGTCGAACAGTTATTAACTAGTAACTAGATATATTTCTTCTACTCTTAAAATTAACTCTGATATACTAAGTGAATCTCCTCTTATTTGTGTGATATTTTGCGTATCTAGTTACTTATTATTTTCTTTGTCCCAAAATTATTATCTAAAAAAATAAAAATATAAATTAGACAATAATTTCGGAACAAGGAAAAAATACGGTTTTGTTTCTAATATATAATTGTATTGCCAGCGTCAATAGTATATATGTGATGGATTATGTTAATTGTTAATAATGAGTTGGGTGGCTCATCATTGTCCTTATAACATAAATAAATATTTCACACAAATATTGAGCTGGTGGAGCCTCGTACATTAATTGGGGCAAATTATTATGGATAAATGCACATCATAGAAGATCATGATATTTATTATACAGTAGTAATGACCTGCTACATTACAGAAAAAAATTGCATGTCCCCAATAAGATACTCTGTCCATCTCAAAATTATTGTCCAATTTGAATTTTAAGTTTTACTACGAATCGAATTAAAATCAAAATCCAAACTCGACAATGATATCTGGACAAAGGTAACATATTTTTTAATGATTAAAAGTCATAGTATGAATAATCGTTGAACATATTGTTCAAAGATGGAGATGCTGAATTACTCATTATGATTATTCATAAGTATTACACCATCAAATTGGAAGTATTTTTCAACATAATTTATACGTACCAAACACACAATTCAGTACACGTATACATTAGTAATCTAAAATATTTCTCTGCATGATGTGTATTTTAGTCATAAATTGAAAAATTCATGATTAATAAAAAGTTTTGGGTCCATTTCATAATTATTAGGGTGTCATACTAAAATTTTGATTAACTAAGGATATAGAAAGTAGATAACAAAAAAACCTCGGCCCAATTAGTTTTAAACAAATTTGTTATAAATTTATACTTGCAAGAATTGGGCTCTAATTAAACTTTGGGCCAGTGGCCAATATTACAAAAAACAAATAAATGAAAAAACATGAGAGTGAGAAGAGTTTCGAACTCTAGATCTATGCAAGCAAAATTAAGATTTACCACCAGGCCAACCCGAGTGCTTCGGTAATTTCTCGGCACATTGTTTTAATATATATAAATTCAGGTTTGATTGATTAGTTAAAGATGTATTCAGGTTTGATTGATTAGTTAAAGATGTTTTCATTAATTACAAAACTATTGATGCATAAAGTATTTATCAATGAATTATTAATTATAAAATCATAATCGAAATACAAAATTTATAAGTTTTAAAGTTATTTTAATCGTTGAAGAAAATTAATCCCCATTAAAATTATTTCTACCAAATAAAAAAATATTCCTAGTTAAAGGTGTATTTTATTTTTTAGCCAAAACAATTTCATGACCAACTTTTTTCTGGTCACCAAACCTTGACGGGTAATTACCCCACCTAATGATTAGTGATCAACAAACAATTCGGGCAAAAATAAAATGGTGGGCTTCTTTCCTGCTATAACTTAGTGACCGGAAAAGTAGTCACTAAACTTTTTATGTGTAATGACCACTAATTCTGGTCACCGAAATAAAAAATTAATGATGAATCCCAGACTTGGTCACCTTTTGGTCACAATTTAGGGACTTTTGTTCCCGCTGCAAGTTTTGTGACGAAATCAATGACCAAGTTATTTTCTAGTCACCAAATTCTTTTGTCGACCAAACTTTGGTGACCAAGTGAAAAAGTTGGTCAACAAAGACTACACTTGGTGACTTATTTTTTACTAGTCAAAAAAATTTGGTCACTAAAGGCCATTTTTATGTAGTGTTTCGTCCAAATAATTGTTGTTTAATAATTTTGACTTAATTGTGTTTTCTAAGTTAATAGTATCTGCATACAACCACATCTGCTATTTGATGACTTTTGTATAACAAAGGAACTCTATTAAGGAAAATATTTACTTTTTTAATAATAAGAATAACGTTTCTTAGTTGTTTACTGTTAATATAAACTGCACTCCATCCAAGCCAATAAAGTATCATTCTGACTTTTTTAAGCACAATTAATCATTATATTGACATTGTTTCTCCATATATATAGTGTTGATCTTGTCCTAAATTGTTGACTATCAATCTAATTCAGTACACCTGGTTTAGAATAAAGCAATTTCGAACATGCTCTCACTGTATAAGAACTAGGAATTCATAAACTGAATCAAAACATTCCATCTATACTACGGAAATCATGCATTCGGTGAGAAAGTTAAACTAACCTAACCAGAACATTTATCATCATGTCAGAAAAAAAATATTAATTCATAAAAATTGGATAAATTGCAGTTGTGAAAAGAAACCATTTCGAGCTAACTCAATTAGGAAGGGAAAAGAAACGCAATACCTTGTCCATAATATTAATGTAAAAAGTAACATATTGTAAACTTTGAATATTCATCTTACAAAGATCAACATCTCAAAAAGAAGTTCATAACAAACAAGGACATAAGGACATAGCATCAATTTCTTATACAAAAAGAAAAAAAAACATCAATCTCATTGAATCCTTTAGTAATACAGAAAATATATAGATAATTAATCTTCTCGAATATAGTTGGTGAACTCGACCAACAAATCTGGGTCGTCCTTAAAAAGTGACGCAACCTGTGCAATGTAAATGTAAACTATTAATCAGCTTTTAAAGTATGAAAATATTGCCTGAACATAAAAGATATTAAAAATAATAACCAAATTTAGTTGAAATGGATACCAACCTCACGGCAGACCTCATCCAAGCTCTTGTTTCCATCCTTGTACGCATTCAGATGGTCCAAAAAAGAAGTGTAGATACGGTCATTGCTTCCAAAACGCTCCTGCAAAGTGAAAAAGTCCCAAACATTCTATTTTCAGAATCAACTATAACGCAAACTTGAAACTCACTCCTAGTTAAACAAAAGAAACTACAATTTTTAGAATGAAAGAAAAAGTACTATATGCACTAATATGGAAGTAAATATAACCTTTATCTTTTCGACAAAATTTGAAGCCTCCTCAAATTCCTGTTTGAACTCATCAGGGGTAACCTCTTCTTCATTATCAAGCGTGATTTCAAACCCCCGGGGCAAGAATTTGTTGAAACCTAGAAGTAAGTTTGGATGCCCTACAAACAGTTTCTTCAATCCGTCAATGACTCCTAGAGTATCAACTCTGCAAAATATATTCATGAGTTAGGAAAACTTAGATACGATTGAAACATGAGAATATATACACAAAATAATAAAGCTTGTGCCTACGAAAAATGGGGTATATACCTGTTATCTTTGTACTCCCTCATAAGGGCAATGAATGCATCCAATTTCTCCTTTTGATCCAGGTACGTGCCCCTAACTTCCCACAAATAGTTTAGGGCAACTCTTGTATTAGATAAGACTAGGGGATTTTGCCTGGTGTTTCAAAAGAGAATAAGGGGGCCAAATCAATAGACAATTTGCTCTAAAACTCATTAGCAAACCAGGAAAATTTTTACTAAACCCAAGTGGAAAGCTATTCACTTATTGGTTTTCTAAGTTCACCAAAAAAAAAAAAGATCATTTCTAATGCCCACGCAAAAGATCTTCCGTACAACTCAAGATTTGATTCATAGTGTATGCAAAATAAAGAACCCAAGTTTGCATATTCGAAAATGGGAAAATATGTATATGAAAATAGCAAAATAATCATTGTTGCATAAGTAAATTAATGGTGTCACTAAAGATTAGATCCGCAATATATTTATTATAGAAAATTCCATAAAAAATAAACCAATATGCATACTAAAAAATGGTAGAAAAGTTTGAAAACCTCAAAATAATCATCACAACAAAAGTAATTAACAAATAAATGGTGCCATTCAAGATTCGATTCACAATACTTCCACCATAAGGAACACCGCAAATTGTTAAAGATAAAGGAAGATATGATAATTGCAAAGGGAGAATAAGAAAACCTTGGGATGATAATTCGTGTTGAAAGTAACTAATGCGTAAAATAAAAACTTTAGTCAAATAATCATTTCCCGCAATTACCAAGAGAAAAAAAAACCACAAATATTTAACCTAATTCGATTGGCAACGTAAAGTAGGACATCAAATCAGAAAAGTTTAAACAATCAAACACCAAACTAATGACACTAAATTCAAGTAAATCAACTAGTCCAAAAAGCATACATGGTTACACTAAATTTCATTTAGCACGCAATCCAAAAAGAAACATATAGGTAGAAAAATTCACACATTAATCTCATTATCGTCTAAATCAAAATGAAAACGAAGATACATATCAAAAAATTGATCCTAAAGAAAATCACAGAAAAATTCACATCAGAGAAAAAAATGAAAAAGAGTTGAGGACTCACGATTCAGCAGAATGTTGTCTTGATGAATTCATGTTATCAATAGCATTCAAGGGACGATCCTTGTTGATCTAAAAGATGGAAAAACAAATAGACAATATAATTAGCTTTATCTTAATGATTATAAAAATCAATTGAAAAAGAGAGAAAGGAGATCTTGAGATGGTTTTTTTGAAGCAACTGACATATACTAAAAAACTGAGCGCGTTGATGAGAACAAGAGGTAGGAACCAACACAAGATTGTGAGTAAAAAATATGTGTGTAACCATGTGATAAATACAACAAGCTATTTATATAGGTGATGAGGAGGGAGAGAGATTTAGTACATTAATGTTTTCTTTGGTCAATAAATAATTAACAATCAATTTCAGATTGTGTGAATCTGTGTATACTTTTATTTTGATTTTTTTCTTTTTCTGAAATATTTGTGATGATATATCTTCTCAATCCCAAAATGGTATCAGGTTAAGTTGTAATTGTAAAACCAAAGGACATTCTAGAGTCATGTATGTCATATGGTTTTCTTGGTGTTGCAAAATATGTGAATGATAAAAATACTTGCAATTACGCAGAAAAATATTATTTTTATAGTTTTGATAATTGAATATAACTACGAGGATGACATTATTTTTCCAAATAACAATAACCTAATTGTTTAAAAAGAAAAGTTTTGTATTGTAGGGATATACATTTAATGGGAATATTAATTTCATTCAATTAAATGTTGTTTGTTAAATTTGGAGTAATTGTTTTTTGTAAGTTAGCTGTATCCGCCTATAGCCACATATGGTATTTGATGACCCTTGTATAATAAAGGTACCCTATTCAGGAAAAACGTTATACATTTTTAAGAAGAATAATATTTACTAATTGCTTAATGTTGACGTAAAACTGTACTCTTTCTATTCCAATAAAGTATTTTTGTGACTACTTTAAGCGCTATTAATTACTGTTGCCATTACACACTATGCTTATCAAAAATACAAATTTTCCAGCTCGATCTCACTGTGTACGAACTAAGAATTCAAAAACGGAATCAAAACATCCATCCACACTACGGCAAATACATTTTCTGTGAGAAAATTAACTTAACCTTATTTGACATTTGTCATCCTATCACAAATATAACTAGGAATAAGGACCAACCCCACTTCCCATGCCAAGTTTATGTGTTAGCCCAAAAATCTCCTTTGACCACTTAAAACTTGTAGTCAGACTAGACATGTGAAAAGACAAAAAAACCATGGCAAATTTTGGACATATGCATAATAAGCCAAGTTAAAATTATTGGTCTAGTCTTAATTATTAATGTAATTTTGAATTTATACCCTATTGTTATTTTTTCCTCCTATCCCAAAGCAATCACCCCAGCACCACCGCCAACATCAAGAACAACGAGCACCCCTAATCCTCATCGTAAATCTTTATCGCAGATGCTAAAATGTTGCCAAATACTCTAAACCCAAACACTGAAAAACGGAACACCAAGAACAACAAAAGAAATATATATATATATATATATAATTTTGAAATAAATCATTTGTGAGTTTTGATTGCTAAATTACTCAATACTCATAATATTAAAAGCTAGTTTAAAAATTATCATTCCCAAACATTAAATTTGCAGAAATCGAGACTTGACTCACTCAACAAAAATTTCACTAGATGCTTTTCAAGAGAACCACCAATCTCTCCACAAGAAGATGAATTTGCTTAGACAACAAAAAATCAATTATAAAACATGCTTGATGGTAGAAAATCCCATGGATTCTCCAGCACTAGTCAAAAAGCAAACTAGAAGAAAAGGGTAATGGAAATTGCTTACTAGAAAGAAGATAAGATGAAGAAGAAAAAGGATGAGGACAAAAGGAAGGTGGTGTCTCAGTCCTAACCTTTCGATTTGGATCCATAGGTCCAAATTCGTAATATAGGTGATAATATTATTTGAAACTCATCAAATCTCATTTAGCATATCTAGGCCAAAACTATAAAAATCATCACCATAGATATACAAAAATCCAACAAACAGTTTAAATGCACCAAAAACTTTTTGATTAATTCCAATTCATGTGGCTCTAGGGGTGATGGGGTATATGGTGGTTGTGACAGTGGTGATGTTTGTTTTTGCTTAAAAATGGAGGAATAAAAAAAAAAGAAAAAGAGAAGAATAAGAGTCAACACATTTCTTTTTTTCTTTTTAGATAATTTGATTTGTTTACTTATTCTGTTTAAAGGGTAGTTTTATTCATAAAAAACTTATGGTTAGAGAAATAGGGCATTTCAATCTTTACACATTAATTTTTTTCTTACATCATTGAATTTCAGAACATTCCCACAGTCAAAGGGCTTAATTGCCCACTACCTATGGTTAAGGGGGTTTTGTCCTTACACAAAACCTCAAGAGGTCATTTGTCTTTAGGATATTACTCGGGGCGAGGTAGTTGTCCTTAATCTTGATCACATATATATATATATATATATTAATTCATGAAAATTTGAGAAATTGCAAGTATGAAAGGAAGCCGTTTTGAATAATTTCAACTGAGAAGGGAGAAGAAATGCAATAACCTTGTCCATAATATTAATGTAAAAAAAATTACATTGTAACGACCCAACTCACCTATCTACTTTCATACGTCATGCTTGGCCACGAGTTGAGCCGTCCGCCGGGCTCTCGTCCAAGGCCCAATACTTCTATTTATCTTTAATACAAATCTAAACATTGACTTAACATTCTTACTAGCTAAAACCTATTTCATCTTACAATCTATTAGTGACAATATTTGCATATCTTCTTTGACAGAATGCTTTCCATGAACTCATCTGTATCCGTTCTAAACCTGGGAGTGGGATAAGGGGATAAAATATAAAAGAGGGTGAGCGCCAAGCTCAGTGAGGTTCTCACTATTCTACTACGACATTTTTATTATAACTATTTTCATAAAATAAAATGCAATAATAAAACGAACTTTTCATATAATCATTTAACAATCAATTATTTCACATAAATCAATTAACAATGGGCTGGATACGGGAAAATCTAGTAAGGCATGTCAAGGGCCGACGTGGCAGAAGGACGTTATTCCAAACTAGATTTAAACGATCAATCAATATTTCACCTGAAGGAGTGACCTTACCGACTAACAATAACAATTCACTATTCAATCTTCACCTTACTCCTGTCGCGACCGGGGTCACTCTATCGAGTTTCTGACAGCAAAGAATGGTGACCAAGCCTGATACCGGCTCACGTTCTTTCCTCGCCCAGTGCCAAGGCCCGTGCTCCAGGGCAACCGAGATCACCCGAGCGTGTGTACACATCAATGATTGTATGCACAAATAATACACTTTTCCGGGGCGATAAAGTACACCACCGGGTACAATACATTAAACGATAACACTGCAAACTCTGCCGAGGTGATGTCACCATCAGAAACATTTCCATTAAAACATTTGACTTTAGCACAATGCGTTCAACATTCAACACTTATAGTCAATCATGTAACTAGCCAGTAGCAGTCCAATTCATTAACACATACGATCAAAACTAGTAACACTTATAACAATTAAACACTTACCCCGAGACGATTAAGTACACCATCGGGTCATTTAACAATATGTATCTAATATTAAAATAATATTTAGAATGTGCTCGCTGGTGCAGTGACTTTCAAATTTATATATTCTCATACTCTCGGTTTTCAAAACACTTTTAAAAGAGTGAGAATTACTTACAAGTGTTGCTAAGCCCTTTCAGAGCCTTCATGTCCTTTCTCTACAAGCACGTTTAACAATGTTACTGCAACGTTGTGATACTAGCTAGAACCAACTGTACACGATTAAGGTACTTTAACTTCCTTAAACAAGACTCTGGTAGAAAATTGACAAACTACTCGGTTAATGTGTTTGTACAAGTTTGTTTCCAATTATCAATTTATTGTTATTACCATTTTCATGTTTATCTACTGAGTTTCTTAGTTGGGCCATTGTAGCAGTACTACTTTATACGAGTCTGTATCCAGTATACCCGGGGGCACCGTGTACCCCCTCCTATTTTTCGCATTTTTAGTGTTTATTGTACTTTTTTTTATCAATCTTTCTATATTTTGCAAGTTTAGTTCCTGTCATTTTTTCTCTCTCATCCAAAAAAAAATCTCTAATCTTTCAACGAACATATCTCCCAATCTGTGAAGAATTTGTGAACAAATTATATATGAAATTTATAGTACTCGTCGATATCTATCCAACAAGATCTATAGTGAATATTTTTTCGGGCTTAAAAATGACTTAATTCTGATGGGCAGAATAAAGGTGGATATCCAGTTTTACAAGATGGATAACCAACTTGTTCTAAATTGGTTATCCATTGTGTTCATGCTGATTATCCAATTAGTTTGAACTGGTTATCCATTTTGTTTGTACTGCTTATCCATTTGATTTGTATGTCTATCCAACTTGTTTGTAATGGATATCCCACTTGTTTGAAATGGATATCCAACTTGTTTGTACTGGATATCCATCCATTTGGTCTGTATGCCTATCCAACTTGTTTTGTAGTTGTAATCCAACCGGTTTGTATATATATCCGACTTGTTTGTACTGGATATCCAACTCGCTTGTACTGGATATCCATCTATTTCTTGGTTTCTGTGTCTATCAACTTGTGTGTACTGGTTATCCAAAAGATTTATATGGCTATCCAAACTGTTTGTATTTTATTTCCTTGCTCTTTTATGAAAATGATTGTCAAACTTTTTTGTACTGATTATCCAACGTGTTGCACTGATTATCCAATTATTTTCTATTGATTATCTAAATTGTTTGATATGCTTATCCAATCATTTTTTCTTTCTTTCTTTCTTTTTTGTTTTTGAAGAGTGAATGTCAAAAATATGATTGTATAACAAGTACAAACAGAATGGATAATCAGTACAAATCAGTTGGATAATCAGTAGGCACACAACGGATAACCATTTTTCAAAGAAAAAAGAAAAACACATTTCTTGATTTCTGCCCGTAAAATTTAAATGCATTTAAAGTTCAAAAAAAATATTCAACATGGATCTTATCGGATAGATTTCGTCGAGCACTATAAATTTCATGTAAAATTCGTATTCTAATTCTTTACGGATCAAGAGATATATGCGATACAAGAATCTTAATCTAAACTAAACTGGTTATCCATCTTTCTAAACTAGATATCCATCTTATTCTGCCCATCGAAATTTAGCCATTTTTAAACTCAAAAAAAATGTTCGACATGGATCTTGTTGGATAGATCTCGACGAGTACTATAATTTTCATGTGTAACACGTTCTCTAATTTTTTACGCATCATGAGATATGGTCGTTTAAAGATTAGAGATGTTTTTTAAAGAAGAGAAAAAAAAATCAAAGGGACTAAACCTGTAAATTATATGATGTTATTTAGAAAAGTGGAAAAAAGTATAGTAAGGATTAGTAGTGTAAAAAATAGAAGGGAGAGTATAGTGCTCCTGGGTATACTGGATAAATTGCCCTTTATATACCTGATTTGTGCAAGTTGCTTCATCTTCTAACACCCTTTGTTCTAATTAAACCTTTTGATGGATGGTTATTGGGAAAACAACATGCAAACTTTTGTACGTTAAAGTTTGACTTTAAGACACACCTTCTTTTCTCTATTGTTTTAGTACCTAATATATAGTAGCAATTTACGTTGAGCTTCTAGTATTTGTTTTCAAGGCTTTAAAGGCTTCTTAGCCTAACCAAATTGCCCCAAAGCCAATCAATTAATCATTGGTCCAAACTCTCTTTCATCTTTCCTATCGTTTTTATATTTTCTCATGTTGTCTTAACGTTTTATTTTCTAGAAGAAATAGATTAAATTTGATTTAGTAAGTACAGGGTTAGAATATAAAATTATACCAAATTCCAGCTTGACTTCTTAATACAAATTAATTGGGGTCAATTCCTCTTTCCTGGGTTCTTTCTTGATTCAAAAACACCTATAGACTAGACGAAATCATTTCCCACTGAAGCTACTAAAGCAATTCGGGTTCATCTCTCTTTTGTGCTTTTAATCTGGACTTCCTAAACCCATGGTATAGCTTTCATTCTCCTCACTATCTAAATCTAAACACCTTGATAATCTGAGGCGACAGAGGTGTAGAAGATCAACTAGCCACCCATAAATGACAAAGATTAACGTTCGTTTTAGTGGAGTAAATTAAACCACTTTGTTTC